TCAGTATCAGGGGTTCCAACCCCAATTCAACTTCCATCACAAATCTTTGAAAAAAGAAAGGAGAAAAGCGCAGCGGGATTTTCATCACCACACTGCCCCTGGTGCGATTCGCACTCACACGTCGACCATATCGCCTTCCACAAGCTCGAAACTTCCATCGCCACTTTCCACAGTGGCTTCAGGCGGATCCCCTTGGCCGGCTCCGCGAAGATCATCAGGAAGAAGACGTTCAATCGCCACCCCTGTCTGCATTGTTTGCGATATGCCATCATGGGGAGATGGTGGCGTTGCAACTCCATCACCATGGGTGTAGTATCCTCCCTCTCACCTGCTGATGCTGATGTCGTTGGGTTGCTTGATCGTGAAGGAGTGGACCAAGTGGACATTGCTCTGGAGCTGACGGCCTAGAGCATGCTGTAATATTCAAAAAGATTGCCGAAGCGGATCTTGTAGCTGCCCCAAACCCATCGCACCAGCTCGAGGGTCAGTCAAAGCTATGCAACGCCGCAGAAAAGATCCACCGGCCTGTCCATGACCAACAGCTGGCTGGCTTGGCTGCGACTTTCAGGCTCATTCAAAGTCAGGCGTCTGACTTCAGGCCAAACAGGCATTGACGAAGCTCTGACCCTGTCTTCTTCGATCAGCGCATCCAGTCTTCTGTCAGCTACACCAATTTCCAAGCGGCCTCGAACATCATTCCATCGAGGGGGAAGACCACGAGCTTGATCTTCACTTTGGGTTGCTCCTCGATGTCCGTTTTCCCCTCTCGACCTCGAATTTCGGGGCCGGATAAAGAGGCAACGACATCATCATTCAAACAGCTCCAAAAGTTCACCTTGGGCTCACAATAACCTGAGTTACGCCAAGCATCGCCAAGCAGCAAACCCGGGCACGCTGCAAGGCACTTTTCTTGAGCCATGTCGAGGTCGGAAGAACGAAGTCAAATCTGCCAGGTGTCATGCATCAGTATCAGGGGTTCCAACCCCAATTCAACTTCCATCACAAATCTTTGTAAAAAGAAAGGAGAAAAGCGCAGCGGGATTTTCAATCACCACAACAAGCATCGCCACTTCAAAGAACCGCACCGGAATTTCAATCCAAAAATATCCAAGCTTAAGAAGAGCGCAACGCAAACCTATCATGAATACTCATCAGCAATGATTGTGCATTGAGTTTTGCTCAGGACAACAGTGGTCTCCTGGCTATGCTGCAGAGAGGGGCAAGACGAATTGTTTTGGATCCTTGGCCAAGAAATGCCGATTCTCCACCCAGATCAATCATGGCATGCTTTACCTGACTTGATTAGCACATCAGATGCTGTCAGTCTAGTGGTTACATGTCACTACCGTATACCGCAGGTTGTGAGTACCGGCTCTGCACTTCCCGATGATGTAGAGTTTTGCACCTCAGTTTACACTACTGGGTGATTTGGGTGTCCAAGTGCAGAGATATGGAAGTGGAGATGATGGAGATGCTCAGGCAAGGTGACACAGCATGGATCCCTGTGTCATCCTGTGTCACAATGAAGCCTTTCGATGCCTTTCGAGCATAACCACTATCGAAGCATCAAGCCACAAGGTAAAGTTCCATCCCTGAGTCCTGACGTGGCCAAGCGCTTGGAGAACCAATTTCAAGCAAACTTTGGTTTTTGGGACAAGGAGTCAGCGGTGTACTTGTAGTGCATGGGTAGGCAATGGTAGGCATGTGGACAAGTGTTAGTTCTGATCAAAGACGTTAAACCTTGCAAATATTTTTTCATCCTGGAGGATGACATTGGTGAGTTCCTGACGCGCAATCAGGCTGTGGCTGATGCATGACACCTCATGAGACTCTGTGATGCTGCGTTCAAGTCGTTACGAAGGCGTTTTTTATCAGGAACAAAATCTTGCAATTCTCACGTGCAGGTCTTCAGCAAGGATGAACTCTTGCCTTTGCTTTGCCAACTGCAATCCTTGAAGAGACAAGGGAAGCCGGCGCTGGCAAAGCGCAAACTCAAAGTTCTCCCAAACAGCACCTCAGCATTCCACCGAGGTTTAAAGTGTGTGTTGCTGAAGTTGGCACAAGGATGAGCGTTGTATGATGTTACGTTGTATGATCGTTTCTGGTTGCAACATACCATGCATACTGCGTTTTTAAAGTAGGTAGGCAGCATTTCTTTTGAGTTGGCTTTGTTTTCGAGGTTGGTGGGGTATTGAGGGCGGCTACGGTGTGCAGTTGCCTCTTGATGCGCACTTGGGTTAGCCGCACTGCTTCGAAAGGGAACCTGTATAACCTGTTGGAAATCCATGGTAATCCAGAATTGGCTTGTTGTCAAGTTTGGACTGTGCAGCCAGGTTCCCCGTCTTTTCTGATGCCGTTCCAAGTTCCAAGATGATGTCAATGGATGTCAATGGCCCATCACTTTTCCTAGCAAGTCAGGGTAATAAACTGGCCCCTTTTGCCCCGAACCATCCGCGGTTTGCTCAATGTCTCACAACTGCCATTGCTGGCAGCATCCCTGAGAATCACTGAGGCTGGTAGTGTACAATGAGAAATGCAGGGACTTCGAAAGCAAGCTTCCCAAGGACACATCCGACAATCTTCATGCGTGACTTGCCAGCATGAGGCAACTCTTTTCGCAGCTGCTCAGTGAAGGAATAGCACGAACAGCTCAGGTTTTTTACTTCTGAGTTCAAGCGCTTCCCGCACTACAGAATAGTGTTCCAGAATGCAGGCTCAGGAACTGTCCACGCCTTGACTGTTCATGCAAAAAAATGTGCAGGTCAGCAGAGACATGGATAGACTTTGGGGTCGCTGGTCAGCATGTCGCTTGCTAAGGCACTGACCCATCCACAAATTAATCTATTGGCTGCAATGTCTGAGTATTTTGTCAGAGAGCCTTGGGCTTTTGGATGTTTTTTCTTCCCGAATTGTGGTTGGACTACACATGCAAGTAACTCAAGAAAGCAACTCAGCTGCACCCACATGAGTGATGTATGAATGATTTTGAACTCTACAGAGCTGAGGAAAATGCAGAGCTTTTTGGTAGCTTTCTCCAAAGGTGAGAAGGACAACTGAAGGGTGATAGCAATCACTGCTATGTTTTTAAGAATCGAAGAACTCACAAAGGAGCCGATTGGACCGATAGCGTCCTGCAAAGTCAGGCATGTTTTCCACCGGCGTCACAGTTCGTGCCCACAACAGTCTGGAGCATCGTAGTGACGTAGTGTATCGTCGTGTACATGTTTGGTCAACATTGGTCAAGCCGTTGGCCATCTCCGAACCACACTGACTTAAAAAGTAACATGACAAGATTTAAATCAATTAGAAACATCCATTGCATGGGTCTTACTTCATGTGAATATGGGCCCAGTTAGTCGAAATGAGCGATGGTCACTGGCAAATGTTTGAGTTTCAGATACTTTCAACCTCTTCAGCCAACGCAGACGAGAAACAGGCTCAAACGCGTTTGGAGTTTGGAGCTTTGCAAACTTTCCTTGGCTGCTGATGGCCTCTCCCTTGCCTGGCCGTGTGTCCCTCACAGTGTCCACACCGTCAGGCCAAAGTTGCACCATTGCAGCATTGGCATCTGGGCGTGTGGATCAATTGCATGTAGCCATTGAGAGAGCGCTGAAGATCCCCAGAGTTGTACAGAGACTGATCTGTGAAGGCAGGGAGATTTACAGCAAGCACTACTTGGCCGAACTTCGGCTCGAGGATGGAAGCATTATCACTGTCGTGAACGGGTTGGCCACAGAAGCCAGAGGAAATTGTGGAAAAGTTGAAGCTGGCAGAATCCACAACAGCAACACATGCTCTTGCAGCAGCAGTAGCACAGTGCTTGGAGCACGAGGACAGCTCAGTGAAAGTTGCTGCACTAAGCCAGCTCTCATGGATGGGCCGAGTTGCTGCCCCTCATGCTGCTGCAATTGCGAAAATCTTACAGAATGAGGAGCGGGGAATTCGTGCAGCAGCTGCTGAGGCACTTTCGTGGTTAGAAGAGGCAGGTGCGGCTTATGCTGCTGACATTTTGGCATTTACATGCCTGCCACTCGGGCGCTTTGGGCATGTTTCCATCATGTCAAGGGCGAAGAAGGCCATAGCGGCTTTCTTTATGTCGGAATTGCCTAGCACCCGCCTGACTGCGATGAAATCCATCATCGGATTGCTGGAGGACAAAGACAACCCAGCAACTCCCCCAGAAGAGCTTCAGCGCAACCGCTTTAGTTTGCCCTTGATTTGTGAAGCGTTTTTCGATCCATCTGCGGATATCCGAAAGACCGCTGCTTCGTTCTTGGTGAGTCGTATCCCCGTATTCTCAGCTGAAGATGGAAGCCAGCCCGTATTAGTTTTGAGGGACGAATTGATTCTCCAATTCCTCAGTTTTGGTGAGCGCATCAATTTGGAAGCAGAGCTGGCAGAAGATGCCGGCATTGTAGAGGCTTGTAGGGACATTGCCAGAAAGTTGGACGCCTCCTGGCCGAAATGGGCCGGATGGCAGGAAGGTCTGGATGATCCGGACTCTTCAGTTGAAGCTGCAACGTGCGAAGTGTCAGTGTCGATGGTGCAGTTCTTGCGGCGGAGGTTCTGTGAATGGCAACATCTTCAGACCCAGGACGGACGGCCTGCACGTTTCCAGCTAGAGGCGGTCTTTGACTTGCTTCACCCTATGGTGGAAGACGGGTTGCGCAGCCGCAAGTGGCAGGTGCGTCAAGCAGCGGTGGAAAGTCTCATCTCTCTTGAGCCCTTTGGAGTTAATGCATTGGTTGCACTGATTCTTGCCCAGCAGAAGGAAAAAGAGAAGCAAGTCTTGGAAACGATGGCCAGGTTCTTTGCCAAATACGGCTGTGACTATGAAAACAACCAACAGTTGTTCTACTATTTTGATCATTTTGATTGCTGGTGCTCAGATGAGTCTGATGGAGACTATGCGGAGTACCTGGAAGAGGAAGAAGAGTGGCAGCTGCGGGACAAGAACGGGGGATATTCAAAGTCGCATCTCAGCCGCAGTGCGAGGCACAATAAAAAGCATGGGGCGGATTCCTCACGAGATCCTGGAACCGATGCACGGCAAAAGAGGTGGCAGAGGCTAACCAAGCCAGAAGAGACTCAGAACTTCGCCGAATCCAAACGCAAGAGCTCAAGAGACAAAGAGCGGGACCGGCGGCTAAAGTCTGCGATGCTGGGACAAGAGCTCTCGAAATTTGCCATGGACCATGCCTGAAGTGCCTGAAGGGCATTGACGGCTGTGATTGTTGCTAGCTGTTATCCGATCTATCCTTCACATGGGGGCCAGATTGGCCAATCTACCATTGATATCATTGATATATATATATTGATATCTATTGATCGCTTGTACAGTCAATGCCTTAGAGCCGACGACACAAAAAGTATGTTCGATGCTGGCACATGCTGGCACCACTTCACGAGCATCAGGGAGTCGAACAAGTGCAACAAGTGCGACTGACAAGCACAATTTGGGCACCCCTTTGAATGATCGCCAGCTGCTTTGGAGGACTTGTCCAGGAAAACAATGCTTGGCAATTCTTGGCACAAGCACAGCCGACTTGAAAGGCCAGACATACAGTATACATCAGTATACTTCTTAGGAGCTTGCCCAGCAAGTAGCCTGAGCAATGCAGTGATCTTACAGAAGCTGAGGGAGACAAACCAAAACACATCTCCGAATCCAGGATAGATTTAGTGTATGCTTCTTCTATTTTTTTACTGACTATGATTTTCTGTCGTTGGATTTGCGAAGGCGTATTGGAGTTGTAGTGAGAACAGCACATCTCACAACGTTCCCAGTAGTTGTTCAAAATTCAAGATCCTTGAGCCATCACCCTCATATCGTTGCTTCGCCATGAATAAGCCGACGGAAGACGCCAGAGTTGGCGCATCTGTCGGTGGTTTGCGCTTGCCTTTGCTTACACCCATGCAGGAAGAAATTCATTGGGTTGATGCTGAGAAAGGCCGGAGAGCAGACGAGCAATTGGAGTTTAGAGTGAGTGCGCAGCTGCTGGTGCTTTGCATTATGGCACTCGACTGGCACTAGCTATGTTAAAATATGTTAATGTACATTATCATAATTCATATATATATATATTATTACATTGTTATTTAATTATATATATATATTACATACATACATACATACATACATACATCCATACATCCATACATCCATACATCCATACATCCATACATCCATACATCCATACATCCATACATCCATACATCCATACATCCATACATCCATACATCCATACATCCATACATACATACATACATACATAGACACATAGACATACATGCATACATGCATACATGCATACATGCATACATGCATACATGCATACATACATACATACATACATACATACTGCACATACATACATACATACATACATACATACATACATACATACATACATACATACATACATACATACATACATACATACATACTGTACATACATACATCCATCCATCCATCCATCCATCCATACATACATACATACATACTGTACATACATACATACATACATACATACATAAATACATACATACATACATACATACATACTGTACATACATACTGTACATACATACATACATACATACATACATACATACATACATACATACATAATCATACATATATATATATTATCAATTATTATCACACGTATATATTTATATATATAACTATATTTGCATATGAGTAGCAGTGTTCATGTTCACACATGTACACGAATGAGGTTCGATGGGAGTAGATCAAAATTGAATACTTGGAAAAGACACGTATATACACATTAAAGCCATAGGTACGACCTTGGAACACGAGATTAGTGATCAAATCAAGTTCAGGAAATGGAGAACAAGGTAGCGTCCGCCTCGCCTTTGGCAATGAACTCAAAAATATACAAATTCCATGGCTTACAACTTATATAACTTGATCTGTGGTGGTGGGGAGTTTAGGGTTTGCCGGACATGGTCAAAAAAAACATCAGATTTGCAGATAAAATCGGCCCAGCCATCAGGCGGATCCATTCTGGCTCAGCACGCTGCTGAAGCTTTGAAGAGTCGAGAGCTGCGTGTTGCAGTGGATGCAGCCAGACGCTTATTTCCGCGATCTTTCATGTGTAGTATAGGCCGTTTCTTTTAATGGATGAAATGTGCTGCTCTGCTCTTCAGAGTCTCAGGAATGGCAGGACCCTAGGCCGCTGTCGCTTCTGCAGCTGGCACTCTCTGTCCGAAAGCAGCCTCCAACAGTGCTATGGCATGCTGTGCTTATGTTTGTTAGCACAGTTTGAGTTAATACTGCTTAGATGATTGATGATTATAGATAATATATGATAATATATTGTGATTGTTTGACCATGACTCCAATTACGCACTCTTGCAAATGTTTGGAAGACACAGATGACACAGGCAGCGTCCACAAGTCTCAGACCTCATCAGTTTGGCAATGATAGTTATGTAATAAAGTTATAGTTATATAATATATCAAAACAGCTGGCTGCAGCTTGCTTTAGGTCTTTTTGATCGACATGGTGCAGCCGCCCTGTGAGTCAACACTGGATTGGTGCCGGAAGTTGTTGACGGGCAAGCACGAAGTCCTGGTCTTCAGCCCAAAGGAGGATTCGCGAAGACTCGAAGAGGTCGGCTTGTTACCAGGCCTGGGTTGTTCAATTGTTCAATGTCTTTCAATCTCGTTGTATCTCTCGGCATACAAAGCACAATTAGCAAAGAAACATGTTGGACTTGAAGGGGCCTGCCTGTCCCGAAGAATTTGCCTGACGCAAGGAGTTGATCAGTCAAACTGGTTGGATTTGCAGCGACTTGATTGGGGTTTGGGCAATCAGCCTGGTCTTCAAGCAGTCGCAACTCGACTCCATGGTCTGATTTTGCCAGCTGATTTGCAAGTTGTTTCACTACGAGTTACCACATGCTGCATCAAGCTGTAAAGTGATGAGACACTCTAATTTAGGAGTTAAGCTCAGATCCCAAAAATGCCTGAATTAGTGGCATTTTGTGGCCAATGCCTCAGAATCGCCAAGTTTCATTCTAGGCAGCTTGGGCTCTTGGCCGTTGGATGGACAAATCCTTGCAAACCTCGAACTGGGACCAGCGCCCACTGACCCGAGAACAGCAAGCGCTTTGTCAAAAGAGAGAAGGGAGTCTCCATCGTAGATCGTCGTAGATATTAATGTAGATATGTTGAAGAGAAATGATCAGATGACCTGCTGAGAAAGCTACAGATTCCATAAGCACCCCACAGTGTGTCCGTGGTCAGGAGTACGCTGCCTTGGATGCCAGTGTTCTTCTGCAATTGCATGACTGTGATCGTGCAGCCCTTCCACAAAAAGCAGTACTTCACGAAAAGGTTCAGAGCCCAAACCCCTCTGGAGACATGGCTATGGCACAAGAGAAGGACTGAACGGACCCGAAAAACGTCCACATGGCACGCAGCAGAAGATGCAAAAACGACCAGATTTGAAATGTTCTGATTTTTCATGATCTTTTTGGCACTTTTTTTCAGCTTGGTACTTGAGGATCTTCAGTGTTGATACTGCGAAGTACAAGTCGTCAAAGCCGCCCCTAAGAGCAGGAGCGGTGGAATAGCTATCGTAGTCATCCCCAGAGACAGCGACCGCGCATCCTTGCTGAAGGGGCACGTGAGAGGAATGACGACCTGTGCTCCTGGGCTCCTATCGGTTGATATGTGGGAATTGCGCTGAAGAACGTTCAATCAATCATCATAAATCATATATGAATTATTATGAATTATAGAATGATCATGTAAATCAGCATGCAACTTATAAAATACAGTACATAATCATACGTCATCATATATCATGATAACTCATACTTTTGTAGTGCATTCTAGTGCATTAGTAAATAGCATGCTGAGGGGGAGTCAGGCCATAAAGATCCAAGATTTGAGAGGCCTCAGAGATCATTGTTTCGAGAAATCCGTTATAGAGCTTCGCTATGCTTCGCTTGTTCACTCTCAGCCAGGGGAACACGCACTCTAAGTCTGTAGATAGAGATGAGCCTCAAGCTGCGCCAGCCTCAACATGAACTGGCAACATCATGGGACAACCTGGAGAGCCCCAGGTTTCATGCTGCCTGCAGCACTTACACGACTGATGCGGAAGTTGCGTGGTTTGGGTCTTGATACTGCCATTCTTCGAGAGGGTGCTCCGCAACGAGAGCTGGTGGAGACTGCAGAGAACGAAGATAGGAGCTCAACTCGCAAAATTGTTCCAGCCAAAATGTATGAATATACAACATATCATATATATATATATGAATATATATATATATATACGTGTGTGTGTGTGTGGGTATGTGTGTGTACAGGTCATAGTTTAAGTCTATATGCTTTTCTCATATGTCAATCAATAATTGTCTCCATATATGCATTCGTCCAAAAGTCTTATGATTTGCATCTCGATTGCAGCATGAAGTCGATTTGCTAGCATCACCATTGACCACAGGGCCTGGCCCAAGCTTCTCACAGTTGAAATCTGTGTTGCAAGATGTTGTTTCCCCAGAGATGCGGGCAATGTATGGCAATGTGTTACGGTAAGGCAATGCAAGGCAAATCCCCTGAGAAGCACTGGCGAAAAGTTGCAAGCACATTTGGCACATAACAGTCCCTCCGGAAGGATCATTCTGTACTACAACACCAAGAACTTGCTGCCTGCTCGAGTATGCCATCGCACCTACATGCTCCGCAGCACATCCCCTGACGAACAGCTGCGAGAAGTGATCGAGGCCGGCTAAGGCTTTGTGATCTTGCGCAGCTTGAAGGGGAAACATCTTGGCTCAGTCTTGTTCTATCTTGTTTTGTCCTTTTGTTATCTTTTATTTGGTGAATGTTCGGGATGACATTACCACTCATTACCATGAGCCAAGGCATTTGCACCGTGTCGTGTTTGAAACTTGTTCCAATCAGCCTCCAGACATTGCCAGACGTAGAGGCTTTCGACGTAGATGTCAACTCAGACTGTCTTTGCGGCCGCTGTGTGCAGTGCAATGCCTGGGATTGGCAACTGGTGGGCCGCGAGGAAGTCAAAGACAACCCTCAGGCACGGTCCAGCTTGCAACGCTCTTTTGCTTTCACAACACTAAAACTATTTATGAAGTTCATTGAATTTCACCATATTTCAGGTGTTTTCAGAGGGCAATGTGATGATGTTTGATTTCAGAGTAATGCTGCATGTCACCCTTTTTGCTGCGTTGGGATTGACAATGCAATGACCAGAATGACCATGGCCTGCCAATCTGCCATCCAGTTTCTTAGACAAACCTTTGAAGGTGGCAGCAAAGACTTTGGAGAGCTTCGATGAGCCCGATGCCGAGAAATGTGCGGAATTCTGCGGACAGTGATAGATTCGTGACGGCTGGGGAACTACTGTATAACATGTAACGTATGGAAAGCATCTCGTTAACCCTTCT